CAACATGCAAAAAGAAAAAAAAAGGCATGAGAAAAACATTGCTTTACAAACCTTAAGACTTATAAATAAAAAAAAATGATATTTCGCATATGAAAACATTGTAATGTTTACTGATAATGTGCCAAATTTCATTAACATTCACTTACTAATTTAAAAGTTATTGCATGAAAACTATAACAAGCACAAAACGGTTACGAGGATGATCCTGGGGACTGAGCCCTTGCAGAAAGAGTTAAGAATATTTCAAATTTATTATTTTTAACATATTGCTTCTGTGACATCAAATAATTAAGTTGGTACATTGTTTTACTAATAATGCAAAATACTATAATGTAGATATTCATGCAGGCGTTGTTAAGAGAATCTAATTAGATGCAAAACTGAATCTGAAAAATAATAATTTAGTATTTCATATATTTGACATTTCTCTTCAAGAATTTATGCATTATACTGTTTGTAAGAGTAGTATATAGTTATCAAACTTAAATTGTTTTACATTGCTACCTTCACCTTATGATATTTAAAAATGGTGACTGAATGCTGAAGTATCTTGAATCTAAGTAAAAACTGTAAGACTTTTTTCATATATATAATTATTTTTATTAGTAAGAGCTTTTGGATCCATTGCAGAAGGCTTCAATTTTTTTCAACATTTATTTATAGTTGGAAACTGTAAATGTAAGTTTTTAGTGTGTTTTGTTTTGTCTTCTGTACATGGTCAGTATTGCCATCCACGGTGAGAAATAAATTTTTTTTTAATACATTAGCCTTATATTTGATCTTTCATATACTGATTAATTTTACTTTTCAAATTATGTAGGATAACTTGTTGAAATAAGATGTGTCTCATTTCAATCTGCCTGTATAGAATGTCATAGATAAAATGAATAACCTTTTTAGTTTTGTAAAATAACATACTAAGTATTGCAAGTCCAAATATTTTCTTTCTTTTTTAAAGTATAAAGAAAGTTATAGTACAGAAAAAATATTTTACTGTATATATAAAGGTTATTATTATACACACAAATACACTTTATTCATGATATTGACTTAAAGACTGAAAGTACAATTTTTTGTTACAGATTTAGAATTCTACAATTCAGTGCATTAACTTTTGTAATACCAAACACCACTAATTATTGGATTTCTAATAATGAGGTTAGATGCTTTGTTAAGTCATGATTCTTTCAGGTGTCTGAAAAAGTCAGTCAAGTTCTCAGAGACAACTACTTGTGTGTAACTTTGGGTGGTGACCACTCTTTAGGGCTGGGTACTATTCATGGCCACAGTTGTGTATATCCTGAGCTTAGTGTCTTATGGATTGATGCTCATGCAGATATCAATACTGCCCTAACTTCACCAACAGGTAATGCCTGAAGTTTTATATTACTAAATCTTTTGAGTGTTGACTGAGAAGTTTATGTACTAGTAGAAAATTGTGTAATCTTCATAAGATTTGTTTTGTTATTGAAATACTCAAGAATAATTAGTTACAGATTTAAAACAAAATTTGCTTCAAATAAATTCATTACATTACCATTTTTAAAATTGTAAATTTTACTTGTTAAACTCCTACTTTTATTTTAAATAACTTGATGTTAATTTTTGTATAATAAAATAACCATTACATTTCTAGAATTTAACAAAATATAAGCTGTTTAGTTTTCATTAATATGTAGCCTCAAAACTAATTGTTTAGATAAGTTTATATCTGTATTCTTATGTTTAAGTATATTTCCTGTAAAGATACTGCTACTGAAGTTGGTTTTAAAATATCTTAAATGTCAGAGAGTCTATGAAAATGTTCTAAAGCAAATTCCCATCCTTTAATTTTTATCATGCCCAGATGGATGAATTCTGCCTCAACAGGAAATTTACACCATTGAATTAAAAGAACAATTATAGAAAATAAGTTTAGTCATTCATACACATCATCAAAATAATAATAAAGTACATCAAAGTTGAAATTTATTCAATAAAAATATTTCTTTAATTTTTTACAGAAAAATAAAAAATAGTTGTTAATTTTGATTTTGAGTTGATTTTGGCAAGCTCCAAATGAAATTCACCAGTGGTTGTGAATTTCCTTAATTTTTTCTGAGCATAATATGGTACTCGTGCCCAACAGGAGGGAAATTCATTACAGTTTCAATAAAAGTGGTGTTAATATGAATTTGTAACTTGAATCCAACTGTAGTTTTATTGATTTTTTAGCCAATCATTGTTTTTTAAACATTATTGTCATCATATGATTTAATTGCCTATATCTCAGATTCAAGAAACCAATAATGTAAATACATAATGAAATTTGTTTTTCAATTCTTTTAAACTTTATAAGCTAAAATGGCTTCTAGTACAGTGTAGATGTACATAGAAATCGGAAAAAAAAGGTGTTAAAAGCTTAGCTTCATGATATGTTTCTAGAAGAGAAGATATTTGTGACCAATTTCTGCTACAGTTATGGCTCTGATTTTTGTTTTGAAAACTTGCTTTATCCTTTCACACTTTATTGAATCATGCTGTTGCAGTACAACAGGAAAAGAAATATTTTCCATGGATTAGTTTAGATAAATTAGCTCTTGACTGTATCAAGTTGCATTTCACTGACAAGGCCACTCTGTTAGGCCTTATTACCCTAAGTAACTGTTTAGATATGCAACTAAAGTTGTCAAAAGGAAATATAAAAAAGAAAAAAAAATATATATATATATAGATATGCACATAAAATAGGTTTAAAACATACAAGTAATGAAACCTTCTGATTAATAACTTAAAACAGTCAGCTTGCTTGTAATTTAGGTATAGAGGTAAACTACTGTATTTTGATATTATAACATTGATTGTAAACACAGTAAAACTGTGTGTGCTGCTTTTTTTTAAACAGAAATAAAATTTACAATTTACAAAATAAAATCCTTATGCTAAAATTTTAAAAGAATTGAGGAAGGCATAAAAATTGGTTATTAAAATATACAACAAAGAAAAGCATTTTCAATTGTTTTTTTTAACCTGCTCTTCAAATGAAGGCACAAGGGTCTGATAGTTAATCTTGGTAGGTAGAATGAAATAAAGAATTCTTGAAGCTAGAGAATTTCATGCCTTTATTAACCCTATCAAGACGGGTCACAGGTGAAAGGCCATGTCATCTCGTTTGTTGACTCGCATTCAAAATTTTATTGAACTACCATTTCATGAATTTATTCAATAAGTTTGGTATCAAGCTGTATATTATAATTCAAATTTTAGAATTATACATTACTCAATAAAAGTAAATATTAAAAAAAAAAGATAAACATTGATTTTTGTGTTACGTGGAATGTTGAATGCAACATAGGTTCAAATTAGATGTTTGGGAAGTCAAAAAATTAAGTCTATAGTTTTGTACAAATAAGAAACTCAAATTACAGATATTGACAAGCTAGAATATAAAATAAAAAGGTCTTTTGTATTTCTTAAAATATTGCTCATGTAATAAATCAAACAGTGGCACTCGGCTCACCTTCTTCCATTTTTGGAAACGCTCCCTTATATACACTTGCTTCTATATATATGACATGAATAACCAATCGAAAACTCAGAATGTCCCTCTAGTGGTTTTCTCAGCCTTTCTAATGTGGCTAGCACCTTTACTTTCTTTTGAACCAAGATTTCAATGAGGTGTCTTAAGTCTGTTCGAAACTTAATATTTGTTTAGAGTAAAATACATCTTAGTTACTAAACTTGATAAATTATAGTTGAATTCTATGGTATTGATCTAGTAATTTATGATTTTTTTGGTTATTAAAATGTATATATAAAATCTAAAAAAAATATTTTGTTTCATATCCTCCACCTGCAAAATATTTAAAGGCTCGTAACTAGAAGATGTAATTATTTTCTTTTTTTTATTATTGTTTTATGTTTAATAAAAAATATGTTTAGGAACTTATTTCAAAATACCAATAATCTATATACATATATAATGTATAATAATTGAAATGTGACTGTATTTTACAAAATACTAGTCGACTAAAACACAACCAAGACAAATTGCTTTGTACAGACCAAAATTCAGTTTTATGTTATTTGATACGGTAACATGAGTGCATATGAACCACGTCATTGTAACTTCTGTATTGTTAGCCAGGCATGGGTGAAAGGACAATATAATAATAATAAATGTATAATATTATGAGATTTAAGCTATTTTGTCTAAACATTTATGTTTTAGTTCTAAAATGAAAGAGGCATAATTTATATTAATTTCCTAATTTTTTATGGTTGCAAGATCGTTCAAATCTACCAAACTCGTACAGAGATTAATTACAAAAAATAACAGATAAAATATAATTTTTTTTTTAAGAAACATTTGATAACTATCCAGACATTATAAAGATTTGGCATATGAAATTTCAAAATTTTCTGATGCATAAAAGTATTTTTAATCTTAAAATGAAAATTACTTTGCATGATAGATAGACAAAATGTGAAGAAAAAAAGGCATGAGAGAAACATCGCTTTACAAACCTTACGCTTTAATAAAAAATACTGATAATCTGCCAAATTTTGTTAACGTTCGCTTACTAATTTAAAAGTTACAGCATGAAAATTATAAAAGCACGAAATGGTTACAAGGTCATCACATTGACTGACCCTGTATTGAAAGAGTTAATTTACAGCAGAGTGTAATTAATAATTAACTTATAACTATCCCCTACATAAAAAGTAGGATGTATGTGTTTTAAGCTCAAACCAGTGACAGATATGAATAAAAAAATTAGCATTAAAGAGCAGAACATGCATTTGTATCACTAAATGCCTTATTGATGCTTTCTGTAGATGTCATGCATAAATTGGTAGTTAATTCTCTCTTAAAACTCGTATGCTGTACCTACCTAATGAACTTTAATATAGCACAAAACTATTACTTGTACTCAGCCTGTCTAATGTGTAATTTTGAGTTGAACACTAGGGAAAATAATAAACTCTCCAAATGAAAAAGGTGAAATGAATTTTAAAAATCCACGCCTTTTGTAATAATTAATTCCAAAATATAAGGTTAATTGGATTCTAAACTCAATGTGTAGTTCAATAAGATGTCTAGTTATACATAATAAATTAGGTTATAAAATGTTTTGTTTATATCTAGATACTGAATTGTAGTTTTATAGGGACATATTTCATTGCTATTGAGCTTCAAAAGTTATTGTTAAAATGGTTTGTGAAATGTTTATGCATTTTGTTTTACAGGAAATCTTCATGGGATGTCTTGCTCATTTGTTTTGCATGGCTTAGAAGACCATAAAATGCCTTTGTCTGGATTTGATTGGTTAAAACCATGGTGAGTAAACAGCATTTTAAGATACTTCCATTTGTAAAGACTTCAGTCAGCTGATGAATAAAAGTTATCAACTTGTATTAATGTATATATACCCATAATAAAGTAATTTTACATCTCAAGTATAAATGAAAATTCATATACTACATGCACTGACATGGATATGTTTTTTAAGTAAAAAAAATGTAGACAAAAACACTAAAAGCTTTACATTAAAATAATAATAATATCGAATTTATAATATACCAGTCTCTTAAAATGGTGATCAGCATTCAAGTTTAGTTGTACTAAATATGGTTATGTTTTGAAAAGTGTGTAAGAGTGGTGAAATGTATTTTACATGAATGCAGTAAGCATAAAAGCAGTAACTTTATTTTTAAATAGTGGTGACTCTGAATGAACAAATGTATATGTTATGATGATAATTAGTTTTATTTTACCTTGTTATCTAGCCTACATCCTGAACATTTAGCATATATTGGTCTTCGGGAGCTAGATCCTCTTGAGAGGTGAGTTATTACTCTATAGCTGTATAGAGGATTTTTAAGGCTAATATAAATTGTTACATGATTCAAATATGTGAAATGGTCTTGCACACATTTTTTTTTCTACTTGTATAACATTACACCTGCCACAAGTAACTGCTTTGTAATTAACAAATATACTGTGTACAAATGATAGATATGAAAGATCAAAATATAAAACTATTCTGTATTTTATTAGAATATTTATGACTCGTCCTTTTTACTTTAGTCATACTTAAGCTGTTTCTTATGCTGGTGAACAGTATCTTTGGAAACATAATAGTGTAAGTTTGTTGTCCTGTATCAAAATCAAAACACACACATACTACGTTAAAGGTATGAATGTATAAATTAACTTTATAAAATGTGACTAGTTAATCCTAATGTCCACATTACCTTTTTAAACACATTTTTCTAAATTATTTATGCAGCAAGCTACTTATGATTCTGTGACTTTATTGGTCCTTAATGACATGAGTCACACAGAAAAATTAAAGAAAATTGCATCAATATTGTAGTTAATCCCATCAATTACTGCTGGAGTCTTATATGAAATTACCTACAAAATCAGTTCTTTATGCAGACCCCACAGGTAGTGAGTTATATATACACATAAGGAAAAAATTATGATAATAAAAGTTTAATTTAAGAGTTAATCATATAAATTGAGTAAATTGTTTTAACTGAAATGGGTCTAGAACAAAGTAATTTATTTCTAATAAGTGAAAATTCTCAATTACAAGAATTCCAAATGAAAGTTGCTTTTTAAATAGACTAGATGCTGATAGTATTCAGATATTATTGTTTAAAATATATTCAATGATTATGAAGTAATTTTGTTTTTAAAATGGAGCACTTGGTTGTTTTGTTTTGGATGTTCATGCAAAGTTACAGAAGGGCTATTTGAGTTAGCCATCCCATCACCAGTCCTGAAAATGGGATACAAACCATGGACCCACAAATCCTCAATCAGATTTACTGACCATTACGTCATATCCCAACCCAGGTTGGAGTACAATAAAATATTAGGGCTTGTATAGATGAGAAGTTCATGAAATTGAGCTACCTATTGTATTCTGTTTAATTATATAATGCATCTGTTACTTGACTAAGTTTAGCATTTGTACTGTAATCTGAGTCTAGTAGCTGATGTGAGAGTTTTATGGTTTGAATGTTGTATATCACATATCTAGCTCTCGCATCAAATGATTCTAATACTTATCAATAGATGGTAGTGAAATATCATGAAACAAAATGTTGCTGTACTACCGGTGTTGAGGTTATTCGTCTTTTGTAGGTTTTGGTATCCAGCATCTTAAAATTTTGGTTTACTGAGCTGTACAGAATTTTTTGCTTTTAGCATTATTTAGGAATATTTCACACTATGCCACTCATCTCTCCACATAATACTTAGCTAGTGCCTCAGTGCTATTCCCAATAAGTGTTTGCACATATACCAAGCCATTCTAAGAGCACTCATTTCAACACCCAATGTGAACTGCACTAGTCTATGATGCATTAGACTATACCCTTCCATCGATAATAGGGCAATACATCCCCTTGAGCACTTTGCGTAAACAAAGTACTCATTCTTTTCCTCAGCATTGCACTGTTTAGATGTGTTATTTTCTTAGGCCTTTGTCAAACAAAGGATATTTTGTTCTGTGCCTGACTTGTATAACCAAACCACAAGATCTACAAGAAGATTTCAAGAGACTCTCATGGTTTCCTTGAAGAGAATATTACCCATCATGATTAACTCTGGAATATGATTTAAGCATAAGCCAATAAATGATCTCAGTTTCATCAAAAATTAAAAAAACAGAAAAAGACGGGGGGGGGGAATAACTGATAATACTAATAAAAATAATTTCAATTAATTCAGTTTCGTGGGTCTTATTGAATAATATTTCTTGTATTCATGTTCCTAATGTGTCCCATGATATAAACTCGTTGGCAGGAGTTGTCTTCTTCTACTTCACTGACAACTGGAGTAAAGAAAATTAGTAATGTTACCACCATTGTACAGGAAATGATTGGTTCTATCCTACATTCTTCATCTCTGATCCAAGAGTTGTGGCCTTCAGCTTCTGTGGCCTCTACCATATCTTTGATGATCTTGATTAGCTCTTACCATAGTCTGCCTTTTCTTCTGGCTCCAATGGGGATGAGGTAATCCACCTTTTCCTTCAACACTATAATAACTGGGGTGTGTGACATTTTTTTCTTACACCAGCTGTTTCTGCCTGAGCTTATTGCATGAACCTCAAAACTAGGATTTTTCTTTTCCCCATTTTCCTTTCTCATCTGATTTTTTGTTTCTAGGATTCATGTTGACTCTTAGTTGGCACATCCTCCCTAACCTACATGTCCATGGGTAATGTCGCTCACATCATATTTCACTTAAAACAAAAAAAAACTGGTGGATGAAATTGCTTAAAATTTGACAAGAACTTTCCTAAAAGTATGTAGTTTCAAAAACATAAAACATTTAATTTTGATTTTTTCTAAAATTTCAAATAAAAATTCGTTATTTATTGTAGTTGTTTGCTCTTGGACTCTGAATAGTTCACCTGCAAGGTGATTTTTTATGTTAAGTATAAAAATACTATTTATTATCTTGTACTTTTCACATTTCATTTGCCCAATCTTTAGAACCTCTTAAATGAATATTAAAAGTTTTTTAAGGTAACTGTTTATATTTTATTTTCCATTTTCTCTACCATATCACTAATTCTAGCTATTGTCATCAATGTACATTGCAATGAAATGTTTAAAATTAAGAAATAGAAATATGTACATAACTTTTAACACTTCATTGAATAATCTTAGAATATCTTCTTTGATTCATATGCATAATTTCATGTTTTTACCTTTTCACTTATAGTTTATTTTTAATGTTTTATTTTACTTTCCTATTCTTTATCATTAATTATTTATGTCAACAGGTGCCCAGTTGGCATTACAATGTGATCTCTGTCGGAGATGTTTTAGCCTGAGTCAAAAGTTTTTGCCCTTACTTATTTATAAAACATATGGTGAATGAAGCAAAGCATAGAATAAATAAAAAAATGATTAAACCTTTCAAGTATGAATTTCAAAACACAAATATTACATAATTAACTAAAATACAAAAGAAAAGCCTAAATGCAATTTAGATATATATAATATGTATAAGGTGAGAAAAAATAGTCAATACATAACTGCAGAAATGAGAATCATGATTTCTTTGAAATGTGGATTTTGGCAGCTGTAAAATGAACTGATATATAAGACAATTACACCCTTTCTATTGGACTATGACTACTGTGACAAAAAAAAGGGAGGGGGGGTATACTGAAGTTACAAAACTCAGTTAATTGTGTGCTACAATACACTTGTGAGTGTGGTGGAGGAGAGTGAACCTGAATGATCAGCACTTGAGTTACTATTCTTATGATTGAAAGATAACATAGTGCTACAACAAATTGTTTTTGACTTATGGATTATTAATTGTGAATGCATAAATACTGTACAACAAGTAGACCAACCAGCTGAAATTATCCCCTGAACCTGATCAATGCTTTGGTTGAGCCTTTACTTCATAGTAGACCAGGTCCTTGTGATATACCACCCACAAAAACTGTACAGGACTCTTCACCTCCATGAGTCATTCTTGGCAGGCATTACCCAACAGTTGTTGAAAAAGGTAAAAATGGAAATATGCAGACTATACCTCTCAGAAAAGGTACAAATGCAGTGTCAACTGTATAATGAGTAGCTTTGTATGAGGCATTTTGGAGAGTATCACATTTAAGCATTTACTTAGTACATAAACAAAACTATTTATTTTTTGTGTCCAAGCTATATAATATGTGCTAAATAATTTATAAAAATTTTCTTTAGTTTTGCATATGCATTACATAAAAGTTCATGCCCATTTTCTTTTCAACTTTCTATTTTTTTTCATTTTTTCCAGAGAAGTAAAATATCTTTAATATATATAATTCTTTTGTATTTTTTGTTTGTTGTTTTCTATAGTTATTTATCCATTATGGCAGTAACTTTATGAATAAATAAAAAAAAATCATAATCTCACCATTTTTATCTATTATATTTAAATGTACAACAGTATTTCCTAAAACTTATCCACATTGTTTGAACTATACGATTTTGTGAGAATTTTTTCTGATTTTACATGAATTTTTAATAACTTTTTATTATATGTAAATATTAGATCATAATGTTGTATACATGCACACTAGGTTTTTAATAAAACATAGTGTTTGTATAAGTATTCATTCATTGATACATTTTTCTTTACACAGTTTTGGTTTTTGAATTTTTCCCATTTTTACCCTTTCTGTCTTATATTTCTTTTTTCTGGTGTATACAATTTGCATTCTTATGTATACAGTTTGCACTCTGATGTATACAATTTGCACATCATTTTATATGATATAAGATTTGTGTAACTTTTCAATGATTTATAGTCTTGTATGTAGAGTAGTGATTTTCCTTTTCATGTATAAATATTAAGTCATAGTCATATAAATGTCATAATTATGACGTGTGTCATGTTACTGTTTACTTGTAAGTGCCCAAGTTTTATTTTTGTTACAATAAATAAAGAATATACATTTAAAAAGAGTACTTACAGTACAGTTAGTGTTGTGAATTTGATTTGCACTCCTGTGTAAATCAGAGACCATATTTATCCAAGCCTCACTGAGTTTCAAATTTGGATATCCAAAAAATATTTCATATATACATTGTCAAATGCACAAAATGTATTGGTCACAAGAATAAAATGTTCCAAACTACTATAATTTACATGGCTCTCTAACTAGGCTATAGAGAGGTTAAATAGAACTTCTTAAGTGTTCGGAGCAACAAAGTGTTGTAGTATGGGGTTACATTATTTGTTTCTTCACCTCTTTAATTAAAAAGTACAAATTCTAAAATTATGTTGTTTTTCAAAATTACCTCTGGTTTTCTTACAGGAATGATTAAAACTGCATGGGGTTGGTCCATTGGACAGACCCTCTATTGGAGAAGGAATGCTGATTATAATTCTAAGTTTACTATGTGTATCTACACAAAACATGGCAAGCATTTAGTAAAATGTGCAGGTCTGTTGTACGCAAAATAATTGGATGTACTGCAAAAGTATTTGTACTCTAGATACGTGTGTGAATTGATGATTTCAGTCTGATAAAGTGATGTTCCTGCCAATATGGAGAGTTGCCCTTTGGTGAGGTGTAATCTCACTGGTATGATACTGAGTGGACTTATCTCTTGATTGGAAGGTAGAGCAGGAATATCAACATAGAAGAGTAGTACAGGCCATCCCTAACATCAAACCATTCCCAGTAGTTCTAACCAGCTAGATTGGCTTTGAGTTATCTTCGGAATATAGTTTTGGATTCATTCATCCCAGAAACTGCATATTTTAGTGTTTTGTAAACCTGTTTCTCACATGTTATTTGGCTGGACATATTGCCCTAACCAGATTTAACGTATATGATCTGCTAACCCCCTGGGGTATGTAGGGCAGTCAAAGAGCCTTCAAATTGTGCCCTCTTCTGTGAAACTTAAGCAAAGAGCAGGAAGTTCTTTTGACTGAATTTTTCTGAACAAATGCTTTTATTGGGTGAAGAGAATTCCCTGATAGATACATAGATTTAGTGTCTTGCTGACTAATGCTTTGACTATACCCCCCTCCATAGTGGGAGATGCACTCCATAAGTTTTCACTTTCTATTGCTGTATTCTTGACTTGAGCTTGACTTTTTAATTTCTTTTTTACCCAGGTCCATTTACCTTCTTTTCACTGTAGGATTCTATAGTCTGAAATTGAATTTTGTTTTTACCTTTCCACAGAACCAATCACCCTACCTCCCCATTTATAGTATGGTTATTTGTCTTGCCAAAAATGAGCTTTTGGTTTACACAAAGTGCTCAAAGGGTATACTGTGTGAGGAAAATGTGTCACCCTCTTATTGGTGGAGAGTTATAGTCTAATGTAATGCTGATTGTGTCTTAGACTAACCCATTTTATGTTATTATGTGTAGGATAGAGAGCTCTTCCAATGGCTTGGCACATGTGGAAGAACTTTCTGACAGTAGCACTCAAGTGCTGACTGTTTTCTGGGTGGGGAGGTCCTCTGAATTTCATGACATTAAAAGCCAATGAACTCTTGATTTGCAAGAAGTTTTTGTTTTCTTGGTCCCCTTCTCAATTTTTTATCAATATACGAGTTTTCTAGTTGGCTTATCATCTGATGTAGTTATTTTCATGAAACCAAGTTATCAAAATATGAAATATAAGTATGTCTTCAATACAAATATTCTGAATTTTCTCAATTTAAGTAATTCCATTGTTTGATATTTTTAAGACTCCTCGTGGACAAGTTAGGTATTCCATATTTCTCAATGGATGATATAGACAGACTTGGAATACACGAAGTCATCAGGAAAGCACTAAAAGCTATTAATCCAAGGTGAATACTACAATAATATATAACAACTGAAAGTTTGGAGAGTCAGATACATAACTTTCATGTAACTTTAAAGCACTCAGGTGTGTCAGTTCGATGCACATGTTGTATAGTTTGTTTGTTACATTTAAAAAAACTAACTTGACATGAACTTTTGCTACATTATATAGTTTTCACAAATAACATCTTTTTGTATAAGATGTTTTTATTAACTTGAAGCATTGAAAATTCAATATTTTACTATGATGTGTTTAAGAATTAATTTAAAATGCTTACCTTTGTAGATTTCAGTTACTCCTTTGTCTTCGACATTCTCATGAAACTTTTTCACAAAGTTTGTTTTTATAAAACTAAATTTTACCTTTGTAGATTTCAGTTTCTCCTTTGTCTTCGACATTCTCATGAAACTTTTTCACAAAGTTTGTTTTTATAAAACTAAATTTTACCTTTGTTTTCAGTTTCTCCTTTGTCTTCGACATTCTCATGAAACTTTTTCACAAAGTTTGTTTTTATAAAACTAAATTTTACCTTTGTTTTGATTTAAAAAAAAAACAGTTATGCTGTGATTATTGTCACTCTTGTACATTAAAAATAACTTGTTTACCAAAATTATATGTAAGCCAATTTTTTAAATTGTTAATCAAAAGGTTTTAGTATTACACTGCAGTATCTAACTTGTACACAATTTAAAAAAAAAGAAACTTTTAGAATACATAGGTTGATCAAATACATGAAATTTAAACAGTTTCATAACAAATGTCTTAAGTGCAATAATAGAAAGCAGTTGGATGTATGGTCTCCAGAGGAGTGGTTTTTGTGCTTGTGTTTTTCATGATGGCCTGCCTTGTCTAGATGTCTGAATAACTGTACTATTGGTGTAAAAGCATTTTGATAAGCTGCTAACAACACATTGAAACACTTGGAACCAATACCTAACAACTTTCTGTCATTGGCTGGCTTCTGTTTGCCCATAGCTCTCCACATGAGTAAAACGCCCAATTTTTCTTGTCCAGGATATAGTGGTTTAGGAACAATTTGAAGGACTTTGAACTTTATGACTCACTTGAAAGCATTAACTTTTGTAAGATTATATGAGAACATGTGTTTGTGTGTGTATGATATAATAGGCTGAATGACCAGTAATTTGCATGTCAGATCACATGACTGATAATCAGATGTCTAATTTTCATAACAGTTAACTGTGAGGGGTGAGTGACATATTCCATAACAGTAATTTGTTCCTTCTGGTTATAATATTACAAATTCCATTGGTCCTCTAATTACTTCAAGCAATGTAGTTAACTTGTGTCCTGTTCTCAGTTGTGGGCTAGAAGGAAGTAGTAAAAATATGTGAAATTAATGGTAATGTACTTTTCTGAATATCTTTAGTGAGATACTTACATAAATTAGAACTTTTTACAAAAATTGTTTAAGTTTTGTATCACTGAGAAATAAATGTCTTTTGGTTTTGACAGATTTGTGTGTTTTGGTCTGGAAAAAATCTGCAAACCTAATTGTTTTATTTTTCTAGATACACCACACCTGCACATCTTGAATCAATTCATGCTAATGTGTTATTCATATTTATTTTTAAAGAAAAAGGTGAAATATTATTTTTGCATGTATAAAAGAAAAACATAGGATAAATGTATACTGATCATGAAATTAACAAGTTTTTTTTTTATTGTTTTAATACTATCAAATTTTAAGATATTAAGATGGCTACTTTCTTTCAAGATAAAGTTAATATGATGCACATTATAGACTGAGAATTTTAAGAATAGTTTGGGATTTATGTAAAATTAGCAGTTTGGTGTAATATTTATTAATACATCCTTTATTTATCAAGTTGTTTTTCTTTCTAGAAAAGATCGATCATTACATGTAAGTTTTGACATTGATGCTCTGGATAAATTCCTTGTCCCAAGTACAGGAACACCTGGTATGTTTCTAATCACCTCTTTTTATTTTTTTCTTAATCATTTCATGTATAAGCTATGTTTTGATTAGTTGGAATCAAAGTTTTTACCAATAATGGTAGTATTATTGCTAGTTTTAATATTATATTTTTTCCCAGTATAATATTTTTTTGTGTCTTTAAAATAATTTGTGTGTGTGTGTGTGTAATTGCATGTTTTATTTTTTTAGTTATAGGAGGATTAACTGTAAGAGAAGCTTTATGTATTGCTGAAGAAGTTGCTAAAACAGGTATCTTTTTTTACTTTTTTTATTAGCAAACAAAATGTATATTTACACTTTTGGTAATTGAGGCCAATATAGCTTCACTCTCTCAGATAGACATATGATAAATAGACACTTTTCTAACCACTAAATATAATACTATAAATATATTTGAAGATTTGTGAAATTGTTTCATTCAAATCTTGTTGGATAACTTATATTTCAGAATTAGTAATGAAGCATGCATGGGACTTTTCTTCAATTCTTGTAAAATTTTTGTTACTGTATACAAATGAAAATATAACTAATTTTATGAAAAATTTCATATTAATTTTTATTTTTTTGCTCTTATTTTGATGTTTGTGAATAAATTTGACTAAAGTATTGTTACGTCTCTGTTCGTTTTTAATTTCCCCCAGAAATTATTCCCGAGAAACTTCAGCGATACAAGTCCTTTCTTAAATAAAACTAGTTTATTTTTTTCTCAATACAACTTTGCAATACACTTAATTTCCACAGTCACTTTAAACTTAAACACACGCTATAATTCACAACGAATAATTCACACACTTTACTTACTACCGCACTTAACTCAATTGTCCACGTCTATATCTCTCTGTCTGCAATTAAATTTCGATACATTGTCTGGCACACTTATATACAAGAATAGAGGGTGCCTAGCAAATACTGGATTATTTGTGATGTTCCCCGATCTTTCTAGAACTCATTACGTGTTACCAGCATCATGTGACTTCCGCTGTCATAACAGTATGTTACAGTATATCATGCAGTGCTGTATATTTTGTTAATAGTTAACCATGATGAAATAATAAGCACAAACGATCACCAATAAAATCAGTGTGATTTCAAAAGGCACAAGAACTAGAGTTTATTATTCGTTTTCAGGAGTAAAAGATAATATTCAACTATTCAAAAGTACTTGAGTTTCTGGATCTTTTGAAGTCTTAGATTATAATATTTTAGGAAATATGCTTTTACAATTTTAACTGTAATATGTTCTTCACCTGTGTATTCCAAGACTTTGGTTTCATTAACTATGAAATGTATTAAATATTGAGTTGTTAAGTGATTTAATCCAAATCTGAAATGTATAGTTAGTCTGTTGAAATGTGATTTACATAGGTATTGAATCAAAGGTTTGAGTTGTACAGATAATGAATGTGAGATTATGTCTTAGTACTGCTTTAAAGCAAAAACTCGTGACTGTAAATCGGAATATGTGTTTTTTATTAATGTACTTATATGTATGTATTTGCTGTCTTTTTATTTTAGGACTTCTAAAAGGGCTTGATCTTGTGGAAGTGAATCCGTTACTAGGAACCAAAGATGAAGTAGAACGAACTGTAGCAATAGCTATTCAAGTTATCGTGGCCTTCTTTGGTCAAGAAAGGCTAGGACCAATGACTCGTCATACATTGTCAAAGCTGGACCTACCTGTTGTAAAATAGCTTCATCAGATATATATATTGCACTGAAATGTTTGTTGTGACAAGATTTTAATTATAGTTTCTTACTTAAACATCTTATTTAGTATATATTTGGAATCTCCTAGTTTTCTGTAATTTTATTAGGATGACAAAATGGTTATTACTATGAGCACAGCATAGAGTGGTATGCAAGATTCTGCCATGATAACATTTGTTTTGCATTAAGCAGGAGATAATGAATGAACAGTTGTAAATTATTGCATTATTACCATCTTACAGCTGCATTATGAATAGTTATTATGGTTGAAAACGAAAACAGAAGTAAATGAAACAATGATAGACTTTCTGATATTTAGTCGGAGGCCAAATAAATAACAAAATGTTGGGTTTACGGTGACCTTCCCTTCCCAAATTTTTAACCTGACACTAATCTTTTAAATGTTAAAAAACTAAAGTCTGATCTACCCGTTTTTAGATATTATTTTTTAACATGAGTTTCTAAATGAGCGTAGATAGAAAGAACCTAACTGCAAGACATAACAATAGTATCAGCAAGATGTATTAAAAATCTTGTCCAGTAACCAGGCACAATCCGTTTAACTTCATTTTTACTTGAATATAGACCTTAGATACATAGGCTTCTACATGTGAACCTGATATCCATTTTTTACACGCAAATAACACTGCTCACACTTTGACCTAAGTTTGGCCAGCAAGAGTTTATTCCCAATGAAATTTTCCAGAAGACATCACTGCTGATAGCAGAACGTGTACACTCATATCTCCAAACTGGCTTTATACAGGATTACCAGAATTTTTAATGGTAAAGTTATGTTCAGGGAAAAACCGCTGTTTTGAAATAACTTATATTACTCCCTTCAGCTCATTTTTCATGCAAATTGGATACTGTATAATCACTCGTGATCTGAAATACAAATGATTGTTTATTCAGCCTACGTTTCATAGATGGGATTTTGCATTGTTTTGTATTACAATTTCAAATGGTCTGAAACTGAGCTAAATGATAATTTAAGTTCAGTAATTAAATAAGTGCTGATATATGTATCCAATTTATGATATTTGCCAACAAGATTGATACACTCAGTTTTTTTTAATACAAATATATATTAATATTCAACCAATAATACAATTTACAATAACAGTTATTACAAATAGTTATTACAAACAATGATTTATATACAAAAGTTTTACAAACGTACAAGCAATATAAAGTCTTATTTCTAGTGTGGAATGTCCTTGATATCTTATCGAGGGTTCACGATGAGCAGTTAATTTCGAGTTGACGTAGGTACAATTCACTTAACAGGGAGCTAGCTCTGTTGTTCTTGCTGATCACACGCCGATTACACGTCGAGTTTCTTTTACTGCTGAAGTTATATAACATCTTCGTAAAAGTACTAATGTCTGATGTGAATCCACTGAAGTTGAACGATTTGTAATGTTCGAAATTTATAAATATTCCTGGTCAAATATCTGAATTTTTTTATTAATATTTTCCGAAGTTTTTTAGCAAACCAATAATAGATACACCTCTTTTTTTTTTGGTGCGTTGTGTTGGTTATATTTATAGGCATGTGGAGAGTTTCTTGAAATTTAAGTTTTACCTAACAATACTATCGCTAACTAGCGTTAACGTACACACATATATTGTTGATTCTTACACTTGAGAATCTTCAGCAACTTTATAGAATAGGCGGGGGTTTCGAAATACATATTTAACAGTATAAGTTATGTACATTTCTAAATATAAATTTGATTTAAACAAACATCGATATTAAAATAAATATATAATAATAAATCTGTCACAGCATCTTTACATTCATGACATCTCACTGCCATGTGGCATAGGATCACTATAAACAATAGTGGAGTATAATTAGAATATCATTAAGGTCCTGAGCAATTCTTAACTACTCTTTGAAAAAGCAGTTTGCAGAGCATTCACTTCTTACATGCCCAGTGGGATCGAAGTTTGATGACCTTCAGGTGAGAGCCAATCCATTTGGTTCAATCTTTTTTTTCAAGAGTTGTATTGAGCAGCTTAGCACATGATGAGTGAGTGATTAGTACCATTAGTAAGTTCAACAATTCTTATTTTTGTTCAGACCATACTTCCGTCACTACCACATGCATCATGTTCCTATTGTAAAATTGGGATCAAGTTCCAAATTCTTGCGGTCTGGATGTAGAGTGAAGCTTGACTCATTTGTACATATATTACTGCTTCACGTGTTATATATCCAATGGCTATTTGTTCTTGACGTCATTGCAGGCCAGCTGTTTTATTCTTTGTTATGAGCCGAATATATTTGGCATACAGTCTGACCTTGTGAAGTCTGTTTTTAACCATCTCTATAATGAATTGGCATTTAATTTTGGTTGAAACTATTTGGTTCAATCTTACAGTGTGTACCATATCATTGCATGGAACCAGATTTGACATATAGTGGTTGTCTGCTTGTGTCTTGGATGATGGGCCGTCTTGTCTAGGTGTCTGAACAATTGCATTATTGGCGTAAAAGAATTTCCATAAGCTGCTAACAACACATTAAAACACTTGTAACCAATATGCAACAACGTTTTGTGATTGGCTGACTTTCATTTAGCCACAGCTCTACACATGAACTCTAGCTGTGGCAGTTCAGCAATAGTTTTGACTTTATGACTCACTTCAAAGTATCGACTTTTGTAAGACTATATGAGACCACACGTGTGTGTGTGTATAATAAGCTGAATGACAAATAATTAACATGTCAGATTACCAGATATTTAACATATTTTACAACGGTAATTTATTTTGGTAGTTATTACAAATTCCATTGATCCTTTAATTACTTTGAACAGTATAGTTAATTTGTGGACTGTTCTCAGTTGTGTGTTTTACACGTGCTGTCAGCTATGGTGGAAAGTTAACTTTTACTGTAGTTTGTTTAGAATGATATTAATTTTCACTGTAATGTTAAAACGACAACTTATCATGAAATGGCATTTATTATTGTATTCAGCTTATAAAGAATCTTTCCATTCAGTTTATTTTTAGTAAATTATTTTTATCACTATCTGTTGATTACTTTGGATTGGACTATTCTGGGTTACAGCAAGTTATTTTGCAATAGACGTTAACAGTTTCTTTATAACTAATTTTTGATACGAGGGTCGTGGGAAGCGGTAAGGCCATGGCCTGACCACTTTTTCATTGCTACAACTCAATATGACTACAGTTCAATACATTATTTTGTGTGCATGCAGTATCTGTAGTGAAAATGGCTCAAGATTCAATGTTATAGGTCTAAATTGTCAAACATTTTCTGGCGGAATGACCCCAGACCCCTTAGAAAACCGGTAGTGTGCTTTTCACACATCGTATAGCTATGGCAACGGCCTGACCACTCCAAAAATACATCCTATGCCAGTGTAATAATAGTATTCATACTTAAAAACATGTAAATTTAATATTTAGTTTGCTTGTAAACTTGAGGTACGGAGTTTCACAATCGTTCAGTATTACTGAACTGATTTTTAAAATGCGCCTAAAAGTAAACTAGTGGGTGTTCAAGAGTAATAATTTCCATGTGTTTTAATATTGTTACCCTGACAAAATCTTTTTTTTTAAAAAAAAATTCTGTTATTAGTATTATTTCGCGTTCCTTTACTCTTGTATGTACATGTAAATGTTTGGTTTGCTAAGTATGTATCAATATAGCCAAGCATCACTGCATTCAAAATACTCTAATTTGTTAAAGAACATTGTATGTATAAATAACAGATAAACGCCGATTTAAATAATCATTACGTACTTTTAAGTATGTATTATGAGTGCTTCATTAATTTTATATATATTTTACCAATTTTGATTACAATACCTTTTATATTTAAACTAAAAATCACCAGAATGTGATTTTTTTTTCTTCTTACCATTAGCACTTTTAAAGTGAAACGCTCGTTTCCAACCCACTTATCTAACCCGGATGTAGGCTCTTCACCTATCAACAATACTATAATTTGCAACAATAATAAAGACTTTATTCGCTATTTGAAATTTCTTCTTATAAGATACCTAGAATATCGCGTAATGTGGGAATCTTAAAAACTCTTACTCTTAAGAAGCAAAAATCGAATTGTATTAGTTCCATATCAGAACAAGTTTCTCTAGCACGCCCTATAAAAATATGACAATCTTTAACCCAAGCATTTTCGAGAGGTAGACCTTTCTTCCTATTGGTAAGTTGCCCCTGACTCTTATTTTTAATTGATTTTGTGTGCTTCCTTAAGATAATGAATTAGTAAGTCTCGCCTAAAATGCCAACGATATGCGAGACTAAAAGTGCACGTGATGATCCCTTATGACTCTCCATAAAGTACTTGATTTGGTTCAAGAATATTTAGTTTAATATAAAAAAATATCACAAGTAGCAGTGTAAAGTTCGGGGGGGGGGTAGAAACGGTACAATTTTTGCTTATTTTGAATTATTAATCGTACTCTTCCCAAGTTCATTTTTCCACCGGACTTTTCGTGTGCAAAGTTCGAGCAGCAGAGTGGTCCAATCATACATTTCACTAATAGGGGTCCGAGCGTAACGCAGTGGCCAGTATGCCAGATCATGTTTGCGTCCTGTTACCCCAAAAATAATTCTTTCCCCGCACTTTGAGATCATGGGCGCTTGATAAGGTGAGAGTTGGCGGCAGGTGCCGTTGAATAGATTCTTTCTTTTTAATCTCTTATTAGTGTAAATAACCCTTGATCAGCTTTATGAAAATATCCTAAAACAAATATTCACTAACAGATTGCGTTATTGGGAGTTAAATGTCCCTACCTCCCAGCCCCGCGAGGTTAAAATTAGGTGTTTGTAGTTTTATGGGATTAAATGTCATATTCTATTTCACTTTTGCGAGAGATGAAAAACAATCAATACATTTCATTTTCTGAACGTTTATTTTTAATTCGCTAGTACCAGGTCACTAGCAGTCACTTGACTTGTTTGTGCTCAAGACTGTCATTTTTTTGGTACTCGTTAGTCAAAATTGATCTTTTTCTAGTAGATGCATGAGTTAACTGCTCTTCCTTAGTGTAATAAAAGTTGTAATTATTAATCATAATCTCACCTAAATTTGTCTGTATTGTAGTGTGTGTTTTTATCTAGTCGGGATAAAGTTGAAAACAGAAACCAGCTATTACAATGGTTATGGTTATAGAACAAAATATCGGTGTTTTTTACAAATGAAATGTTTTTTGAAAAGTATTTTAAGATAAATTGTTGTTATTATCAGTGACGAATTCCCTGCCACTAACTCAGTTGATGATCTAGGACGGCGAGTAACCCCAGCTGAAGCAGAAACCTAATCTACGCTCACCTGTGTTTATCGCTGACTCGCGAAGTATCATTAGGTTACTGCCCAAACCAACAGAAAGTATCTTCTTGCATATAAAAAATTTACTCAACCCACAGATCTGAGAATTACCAACCTAATTTCGTATTATATTACCTTTCATGCGTGATATTTTCAATGACGTAGAGTACGGACGCTATTTCTGCACTTTTCTGCCCCTTTTTTGGTCAAGCTTAATTTCGCAAAATTTATTTATTTCAGTTAGCTATGGAATGTGAGGTTAGGGTATACTATGGGGAATACTACTTGCCCCATCATTTTTATTTTTTGACAGGCTATATGTTAATGTTATAAACATGACAGTTTCCGAATCAAAATAACAAATTTTCCGTATATATTCGAATAAGCAAAATACATATTTTTAAAGAAATCAAATTGTATTAAATATCGACTTAATGAAGAACCCACATTTAAATATTATTTTACAAACTGCAGTAGCACAACTAATTATATAACCATTGTATTGACAGTGGTAAAAAGTTGGGGCAAAACGTGCAATATTTTAAATTCATTCAAAGTATAGTATCTATTGGTTTATGTTCTCATTTAAGAATGTGGTTATTTTAAAGATATGTGATGGTAAAATATAATTTGACTATGTCCAAAGAAAAAAATGATATATAAACGTGTTCACATCTTTCACTCTTAGCTCTCTGTTTGTATCTGAAAGATGGATACTATTTTTTTTTTTTGTCTTATTACAGACTTGTACAATTTAATATTGAAGTGAAATTTATATGCATTTGTTTATGTAATTCGTGATTGTTTTTATACAAAAGAAAAGATATTGAAATACGGTATTAGTATATTCTTGGATGAAGACAAAAGCCGACAAGTAACTATAATTTGCGAAAGTTTCAAGATTTCTACTATGCTATTTTCAAAAGTACTAATATTGAGAGTGCACTATTAATCATTTCTACTAAGTAAGCACTGTTCACTATAGGTCTATCCCACTGAAATACTTGTAAATTATCATGCATTTTTGACGATACCAGTAAATAATTAATTTATGTTTGGCGCCTGTCATTGGATTTTTTTTTATTATTATTATTAGTAATTGTCATTGTTGCGATTTTGTTCTGCATGCAGATACAAGTTCATGTGAACAATAGTTTTAATGTTGCCCGTCCACTCTTGTCTTACGAAGCTCTAAAAGTCGCGGGCTTAAGGCTGTGAAAGATATTGTTTGTTCGAGTTATTATGAGATAAATTAAGAAACGATATCTTGAAGTTTTGGGGATTAGTATTTGTTTTATAAGTAAGCGTTAAGTACTGGAAAATAGTCGTTGAATAAGTTCGTGATTGTATAATCACTTCAGTAGGCTTGCCCAATGGCTTTAAATAATAAAAATGATATATTAACATGATAATTTAAAAAATCCAAGGAAGTATGCCACTCTCCTACCATAAATGGAAATTCGGCAAAATGAAAAATAAATTGTCATGCGAATCTGTATCATATACTTACATAAAAGAATAATCAGGAGCGCAACGACCATTTATAATAAAGTATGGCATTATATGAAAGTTAAATTGGAAAACACCCTTGATCTTTGATTTAATAAACTTCGAAAAGGATCCTACGATTATGATAACATTCAAACTAACACAAGAAAATCTGTGGATTTTGCATTTCAAAGGTTTGCAAGATAAGAAAAGACACTTTACAAATGTCATGCATAACACTTAGAAAGAACAGAATTATAATTTATAACAAACAGAAAAGAAACGTGCAAATTATAAAATAACTGCTAGGTTACTTTGATAGGAAATATGTCGGAATCTAATCTACATCCTAGAAAAGGAAGCTCATTACGAGTGGGTACAAGATATTCTCCGTACTTTAAACTGGTGCATTATAACAGTAACAATTAATCTCATAGTGCGAGTTGTAGGGTGCTACTGACTGTAGTTCAAAATGAGGAATGGCAACAGGTAGCCCTCATAACTTTGCCCTAAATACAAAATGCAGTTGAGTTGACTCATCACTAAGTTTCACCTATATGTCCAACATTAGCACAACCACAGGTAGGTCTGATGGGTAATGGCCCGCTCACCAAGTCAGATCCTGGATGATGGTTCCTGCATCCTAATACACTTGTATTTTATTTCATAACTGGACACCATAATTCTAGCTATCTTTCGAAGTTTAGATATGTGACATTGTTGCTTCGAACAATGCACAGCACGTACTTGCCTGTTATTATTAGACATAAAAAAAGAAACTTTAATATATTTAAAAACTCAATATTTAATATATATAATGTAGACAATAAAACTATCTAAACAGTTGAGTTAATATTTACATGAAAAAGAAGGACTGTGTTAAAGAGTAAAATAAAATTAAAACGATAAGAGAGCAAGATATGGGTGCTCAAGCCTACAACGTCTTACATTTATATCACACTTCACTGCCTGCAGACAGTTGTAGAAATGAGAGAGAAAAAATGTCCTACCCTTTTAAGTTAGCATTCCAGCAAAAGCTTAAATGAATAAGGTAATATTATTTTTAGTATATCCTTTAAATTTTGGAGTAAACTTTCTTCAACGGATACAGAAGGATTACAATACCGTTCTATTAATAAATTCATACCTAAAATTATATCTTTCAAAGGAATTGTCGTATATAAAGTAGTGAAATCAAACGTTTGTATAATATTAACTTGTCTACAATTACTTAAATATTCTAAAATAGGTTATTTTTGATTATCCAAAATTATGTTTATTGATGCTGCAACTTATTTTCAGTTCACTCAAATAAAATATTGAGTAATTTACTTAATAAAATGGCTGCTTGTTGAATAATTATTTTCACCGAGCTGGAAATAAATATAAATTTTATAGGACATTTATGTAACATAGGTATAGCATACAGAAAAAATAAGTCCAAAAAGAATTTGATTTGGAATAAGTTTTTTTATAAGCTTTGATGACATTAATAATTACTGTATCTTTAGATTGGTTAATCAGTTTAAATGTTTGGGTACTATTAATTTCTTTATCATAGGTTGTGCATAAAACTTTTTACAAAAACCCAAAATTACAATTAGCTTTATCTGTGAGAACAATGACATATTTTTCTTGCAATTATTGGATGGATCTTATTTAAAAAAAACAAAACATATTTACTAGAAATGTTTGAAAATTTATTTGAGAAAGATTCAATTTTGCTTTTTTAATTACATAAAACTTCCAATCTAAAAACCATCCAGGTGGATAAGATGTAATACAATTAAGCTTTAAAATGTACTCTCATTAATATTGTTTTAGAATATCTTACTTATCACATTTTGTGGCAGTTATCTATTTAGATCCTTTAAGAATTTCACGCAATAATTTATCTTCTACAATTTCTAAATTACCAATAATGATATGTTTATGAGAAGTATCAATAAATATTCTACTTTTATATTACATAGTAAAGTATTTGCTTAATCCACATCTAAATTATTTAAGAAATTCTTATAATTATGCAACTGGTCCATATGGAATTTCATATTTAGAACTAATATTATGTTTCAAGGTTTTACAAGGAAAAATGTCTTTTTTTTCTTTATAGGTTGATTAAAAATACTAGGAATTTGTAAATTATTAAATATTTTATTTTTAAGATTAATTACCAAATATGAAGCTTTTATTTTATGTTTATTTTTCTCACGACTTTATAACTTTATAATCTATATTTCATTATATCTAAAAGTAGATGTTGAAAATTAATTTTTTTAATGATTTTAATTAATTCCCATATTTTAGGAAGATTAAGTTGATACACTTTCAAAAAAATGATTTTCATACATTAGTGCTGGAATAATAAATATCAAAATTCTTGAAAAATCCAATCCATTTTATTTTTTCCTATCTCTCTTTTTTTTATAAGAAAAAAATATTGGTAATAGAGTTATCATTACTTAAAGTTATAGCAGAAGTATTATTGAAATCTTGATTGAATCCATAATGATATGTTTTTAATTTCAGAATATAAAAATGTTTAGATTTCAGTCTATTCATTTCTTCATCAACAATTTCTAAAATAATTATTATAACAGGAGTAGTAGTTTCGTATGGTGTTTCTCACATCTCCAAATTCTTTTGGAGGTGAGTATCCGGGAGTAGGACTGGCGTCCTAGTCCGGACACTGAGTGAGTATGTTTTGGTGTGACAGGAATTCGAACCCGTGACCTGCAGATTGCCAGTCGAATACCCTAACTACCTGGCTGTAACTAGAGTAAAAGGGATGAACTTTAAAATGTTTTAATTCTATGGAACTTATTTCATTGTTTCTGTTTTGAGATATATGCACATTTATGTGTATATGTAATGGACTTGAAGTTGGACCAACATACTGCATATTACATTCACTACGAATTAATAGATAAACTACATTTTTTATTATGTATCTGCAGAGAAACATACTGTTGCGTATCTGCTTGTTTGTTAATTTCCCGTATAAATTCTTTCCGAGAAACTTCAGCGATACATGTCCTTTCTTAATTAAAACTAGTTTATTCTTTCTCGATACAACTTTGTTATACACAGAATTTCCACAGTCAATACGTTTGCAATCTCGATAACAAAACATACACTTTATATTACCGTCACTACCGCTCGCTTGACTCAGTTCTCTGTCTCTATATCTATCTATCTGCAATTATATCTCGCTTTATTTGCCGGGCTTATATACTCAAAAAGAGGACGCCTGGAACAGACTAGGAAAAGTCATGATCCTTCTAGAAACTCCAGCGCGCATGCTTCCATCGTCGCGTTACTTCCGCTGTCGTAACAATACTGTTTTTCTGTTGTTTCAAACACTTTTCAATTGACTGCCATTCCTATATTTCCCAGTGGATCAAATTTGGTCTAATATGCTCAGACACCTTTTCCATTTTTTTGACTCGGGCCTTTTTAAGGTTTCTGTACAGTCACATTTACAGCAATCAAGGTGAAAATTCGCACAAATATATACATTTTCATGTGCCAAACATATTGATATGCATAACAGTTGGATTTGCCCATTTTGAGTCTTTTTAGGAGGATCATAGATCACAAAAAAGCATAATTTTGGAGGCTTTGGTCAATTACTTGGCCATGTTTTCACCAATTTACATGGGATTTAGTATATAGCTACTTCTCTACAGTCCCACACATTGACAAACAAAAATAGTGGACTTGCTCATTTTTAGTAATTATAGAGGAGGTTAAGATGTGACAAAAAACGTAATTTTTTTTTTTTTACAATTACCCAACTGTATTTCAGCCAATTTACACGGGATTTGGTACAAAGGTACTATTTACATGTCCCATACATATAGATACAAAAATGTGGGATATGCCCATTTTAGGGGGGGCGGGCAAAAGGTTAAATAGACCCATAATTTTAGAGGTTTTGGTCAATTATTTAGTCATATTTTAACCAATTTACTGGGCTTTAGTACAAAGATACTCATTGCAGGTCCCAAATAGAGATACAGACAATTTTGGAATTTTTGTTCTATCTTTCAGCAAGGAAAGCAAAATTTGGAGCTTTTGTGAACTATTCATGTGTACGTGAACCAAGATACATGGGATTTGGTACAAAGATACCTTCTTGCAGGTCCTAAGAAGCAATATAGACAGTTTTAGATTTTTCACAGTTTCTCTGGTTTCAAAACTAGCCATGTTGGGATTGTGTGGCAGTCATATTGCATTCGCCTGCAAATGTTGGCCTTTTAAAAAATGAATTTGTATGTACAATAAGATGAAAAGAATTAAAAGCAGGACATGTGAGACATCTTTTGCCATTACATTTGCGGAAACATAGCAACTATAATTAGCTAGTTGGGTCAAATGACAGCTGACACATTTTTCTTTAACCTAAATAACTGTATCTATTATTTGGGTATAGTTTAGTTGTAAGAGGCAATAACATTTAACTAATAAAAAACAAAAAGACTGTAAGATCAAACAATGTAATGGGAATGTGTGACATGTCGGCAACAAATCACATTCAAGTTTTTACTACTATAATGGGGGCTGGAATGCCAATTTCAGGAGGTGAGGTTTTCTTACCACACTCAATGGTAGGACCTTTACTTTCTCATTTCTTTTCTTCTGAGAGCAGTCACCTTCCCACAACTGTCTGCTGACAATGAAGAGTGATATAAGACATTGTGAGATTGGGAAGCCATATCTTGCTCTCTTATTTTTTTTCTTACTTTACTCTTCTATCTTTACATGCGAGATGTTGTGAACAGAGGTTAAGACTGATAGATGGCGTATCGCCATTGCTACGTGAGTTGTACTTCTTCATTCACCTCCAAAAACCAGAACACATTTTATATTCCACATTATACCTGTGCCCTGGTTATTTTGGTTAAGAGTATATTTATAGAATCCTGGTTTTAAAATAATATTGATTTGCTACTGATTCATCTGTATGCTTCTATAGATCTGTTTGATAACTTTGTGGTACCAAAACCTTCTGTTTCATCAAAGTTTAAAATAACAAAAGGAAGAGTGCTCTGGTATGAAACATTGTGAACTAAAACATCTATTTATTATTTAGCTATTTTTTGGTACACATTTTTTTTCTTTTTTGTTTTGTATTTTTATTTCAGTACGAATTCTTTCCTGTTTTATTCTCATATATTACTGTATTTCTTGTCTTTATGTGCATTACATTAGAAACTATTCATTCCCTTTAATCTAGGATACTTATTAAACTTTTAGAACAAAATTAAAAATTTCAAACAAAAGTACTTTATTACAGCCTGAATTTTTATATACAAAATTATATACACAGAATTCAAGATTCACAAAATCTTCTGACTAGTGGAAGAACAGTTACAATAAGTGCTGATCCATGAAAAAATAACAAATTAACAAAAAAACTTTCTAAACATCCTGTTTTGAAAGATTTAAATACATGTTACAAAAAAAGTCATACTTTATAAGAATTATTGCTGGCCCCCTATTTAGATAGTAAAATACAACAGTAATCATAATATCCTATGCTAGCCATTATCCTTGTTAATTTATTTGATGATCCCATATATTTCTACAAATGCCTCTCTTTAGATGCTTCTTTGGTATAAAAAAAAATCAATAAAGGACACTTTGTGAAGAGATGATAAAATTGAGCAGTTCTGTACATATATATATGTATATATTTATACACAAGACATCCAAGTGCAGTTAACTTAATATTCTAAAACATTTAAAAGAATTGGGCTGGAATTAATTTTTAACACACACATCTTAGTCAAAACCAGGCATACTTATTTTCTCTCCCTATTTGTGCTTACATAAGAGACAGTAGCAGATCATTGTGAAATTTAACCATGATGTATGTGTTTCGATGCTGTACAGGTTTCAAGTAAGTTTTCAAAACTACTACTACAACTTGGTATAATACAAATATACCAGTAGCTATCAAGCCTTATAAGTTATCACTTGCTCTATGTACTGAGATTGAGTACATTTTTCTTTTAATAATTAATTTTTTTTTCAACAACCTGGTAAATGAAATGAAACTATGGGAAACAAAAATGAATGCACAGTAATTCAAATAATATTTAGTTTTGTATAGAATTGTAGTTAATACATCTCCTGAAACATACTTAACTAAGGTAGTAGTAATTTTACTGAATTTTATCTAACAGACAAGAAAGGGCTACTCTCTAAGGACCATCAATCAAATATTATTAAAAAACCATTCAGTAAATCTTCGAAGCTGGGCCGATGTGGACAGAGATTCCTCTTGTAACCTTAGGTTTTCTTCCTGAAGATGCTTCACTTGCTCCTCCAGAGTGGCTTTTTGACCTTGTTCCTACGTGACAAAAACTTGAGTTTATTGTACGAGTTAACATGTATGAATTAATACAGGCACTCTACGTGTACTTACATAAGTAGTGATACTGTTCAAATAAATCATTACAGGCTTAATATCCTTCAGATCAATAGCCAAAATAATAAACTATCTTAAAACAAATATGCACATGTATTTTTACAGTAACTATTGTATTGGTCTCTTTTTAGCTTTGGCAAAAATGTTAATATAAAACTAAGGCTTTTCACTTATAATGCTTACTCAGCAGTTACAATTAACAGAAATCTGCTGTGCCATGATCATTTGAGTAAAACTCTCATGTTTCTGTATTTTATTGTACAATTTTACAAATCTTGAGAATTTTGAAGTAATTTTACTAATGAAAGTTTTAGAATAGTTTTGTGAAGATAGTTTACCAATACTAAATTAGAAATGTTTGAAGTACATTTACTAGAATGATAAATTTGTACAAGGAAAGGTTTCAATTATTGCTATTAGGAATGATTTAATGGATTCTTTCTAGGACGATTTGATGTAATCTTGATAACTAAATATTAAAGTTGATGTGAACTTAGAAATACTAAATTATTTCTGAACAAATTTTGAATTACTCTTTCACAAGTATGTGCATCAAGTATGGTTGCTATTATTAGTTTTAATTTTAATAAGTAAAACAAATTAAAAGCACAATGTTTAAACAAAAGTTATTTAGAAATATCAAAAATTTACCCACAAGCACTTTAAAGCTGTAAAGTCATCACCAATTATTAAACTTAGACCAACAAACACATTGAAAAGTTAATGTAATCAGGTTTCAAGCTACTTCAGAATGTAGAGAAAGATACAAACTCTTTCCATGAAATACTTGTATAATTTGTACATTTTTATAGTTTGTGACATGATCAAAAAGAGTAAATTAATTTATATACTACAGAGACATTTTCAGAGAAGTAGAAACCACCCTTGAAAATAATTTGAACTATAGGTTTTGGAACTTGTGCAGTTTTGCACAAATCCACGACATAGTTCACTGTTTTGACAACTAAGATTTTATAAAAGAACTAGATTCATATCTGATTTCACTAGTTTCAGGAATGTAAAAGTCTCAGCTTATTGAATGTAACTTTATACCTTGGCTAGATCCTGTTGTAACTGATTTATCTTAGCTTCCAATTCTTGAAGTTGGTATGACCCTCCCAAGGCACTACAAGAAAAAAATAGGAACAAGTTGTTTTAAAAGAAACACTCAAGGCCATTTTTAACAATATTTGAAAAAGCCCACTCCACAACTTATTTATTTTGATCACAGACAAGCATTAATGTATCTAGTAATAATTATTTTTAGTTTCTTGTATAATTTAGAAAAATTTCTCTACCTTCATCTATTTGGCAGATGTGATCATATTACTCAGGTTTATATAGTTAAAAATACTAAATTAAAAGTTCCTCATAAAATCATGGAATTAGTTATTCATATCCTAATACATATCTAAAAGTTACCTTGGTATAATTAAAGCCACAACTCGAATTCTGATACCAAGTATGTATTATTGTACATTTCCAAGCATCTAAAAGAACACAGCTTTATTTAGGAAGGCTTAAACAGAATATAAAAATAAAAGACAGTTATTTATATAAACCTTACTCGTACTTCAGACATTTTTATTGATGATATATAATAATATTACCCACAAATTTTGTGCTCTAAAACGTGCTGAAGAGTGAAGAGTTTTGTGTGGAAAGATTATGAATAAAGAATATTATAATGTTTAGATTCATGGAAAAATTTGCTAACAAAGAATTTTTACTTTGATTTGATATGTGTGGCCATATTAACAAGTTACTACATTTTATCTTACAAGAGATGTTTACTTTATTGATACTTTTGCTGTACTCAAGATTTCAATGTGTTCTCTTTATTATTGTACACATAAAAGCTTTTCTTTTTAACCCTAGCATTACCAATGTGGTCCATTTGAATCTCACTGGCTTTTTAAATATATTTTATTAAACTATTTATGCACCAAGCTGCACGTGACTTTGTTGGTTACAGGGTCCCTAATAACATACAAGTCATACAAAAATTTAAACAAAGATAACAATATTGCAATTAATTCCACTATAATTATTACTGGGGACTTCTATATATTTTACAGAGAAAAAGAGCTATTTAGTAATTCTACATTCACTATAAAGAACTGACCAAAAACGAATTTGATCAGTTCTTTATAGTGAATGTAAAATTACTCAATATGATGAAATATCTGGACCCCACCAGTAGTCAACAGTATAAAAATAAGTTAGTAATTTGAGGATCAATAAAAACTGGTTATAAAATTCAAAGGCCCTTTTGCCAATAAGAGTTTCAAGCTTTTTATTTTTATGTACAACTTCACTAACATTATTGCCTGAACAAAAAAAAAATCATTTTTTATAAAGAAAGGTTTTAATGTACTACCAAATTACTTAAGCTCAAACAGTAAAAACTATGCTGTAAGTTTCACTATTATTAAGTTGAGATCAAAATCCACAACACAGGTTATTCATACATACATAACTTTCTTCAAGGAATTTATGAGCTACAAGCTAGACCAACAGGAGATCAAATTTTGCACTCAGCTTGCCATGATGGTAGTCCAGTAACTGTTATAACCTGATCAATATATATATGAGCCTCCTGTCACAGCAAGCCAAGTTCAAGATTCTGTAGGCTTAGCTTATAACGCTTTACATAAAAGTTTATGTATATGTAATTGTGGAATAGTAATTGATATTCGTTAGTTGAATTTCCTGCAAAACCATCCCTAATTTTAAATGTGATAAACTAGAGAAAAAAGCTAATCAACAACACTTAACACCAACTCTTGTGCTACTCTTTACCAATGAATAATGGAATTGACCATCACATTATAATGCCCCACAACTGAAAGGGCTAGCATGTTCAGTGATGGGGGTTTGATCCTGCAGATTGTGAGTCAAGCACCATAACCAAAAGGGCATGCTATGTCAGTTACGGATGACTTTTTACTCCTCATAAATTTCAAACAATGGTATTTCTGAATCGACTATGAGAAAACAGATATTTAGATAAAAAAATTACACATAACCAATAGCTGGATTAGATGTTCTTGTACTTTAAGAGCTAGCCATGGGAAACACAAATTACACTTACCTTGCACTTTTTCCAAGTTTTTCACTGAGTTCTTCCAGCCAACTTGCTTTGTTTTGCAAAGGTGGCCTTACATCTGAGAGTATATGAAAAAATAAAAAAAATAACTGAGATACATTAACCTAAGGATGTATGTAATTAAATGCCTGGATAATACCCAT